TGGGGGCTGGCTTTCAACGTAAATAGCATCAAAATACTACAAAATGGAATCATTAAAAATATCCTGAATGTCAATAGACTATATTCAACTAAACAAGTGTACTGGGAATCTGGTATTATGCCTCTTGATGCATTGGTCAACGCCAAGTTAGCTATGCTCATTCAGAATCATCTCATAGGAAATAAAACCCTAAGTACTCTACTGAAGTCAAACAACCAAGTGCACGTATACCCCACTAGAAACAGTGAGAATCTTCATATACCGAAGATCAGTACCACGCACTATGGAATCAAGAGCAGTTTATATCAAGCTATATCCAAATTCAACTCGCTACCAACTCCTATCAAGCAAGAATCCAATTTTAGAAATTTCAAAAAACGATGTAAATCTCATTTCTTCCAAAATTTTATTGATCTGTACTAACTAAACTTGTTGCACACATACAAAAACCTTGTAGCATCCTTACAGGGCCCAGCCCTAGGGACTTTGTAATTCTCAAATAAAAAAAAATAAAAAAAAAAAAAAAAAAAAAAAAAGTTAACTTTTAGTTAAATCCCTTCCACCCGGGGTATCTTTATCTGAGTTGTTGTCTGTCATGACTAGTCACATTTCATATTCATATTTAAAAGAAAACAACTTTGAAATTTAAGTAAGATTAGAATTTTATTCATAGTTAAAAGAATTGACAGACAAAGTAGATTTCTTTAATCAACCATACGCAGTGCATGTAACTTGGGTCGTGGTCAATAGGAATGCAAAAGCTACTGCTATTATGCTGCTATGTTGTACATACAATGACAGTTTTATCAGAATGGCAGTCTTGACATCAAAGAGAAAATGATAAAAGAAAAACTGTTCGTGTTCGGATCGAGTTTAAACAATACATTGTTTAGTTCGGTTTGTTCGAAGAAAAAATTGGTTCTTCGTGGTCGTGTTCGTTCGACGATTTTTTGGCAAATTTTGTTCGAGTTCGTTCAAATTCGAACTGGCCTCCCAGGTAAATGGGGTTGTATATGGCCATGGCCATATATGATTTGTATATGATCATATACAGCGATATATGCTTCATATATGACGACATATATGTCCACATATATGGTTGTATATGGTCATATATGATCACATTTGCTTGTATATGGGCTTATACATTACCATATATGGGTCCATACATAACCATTTATGTTTCGATATACAGACATGGCTGCCCGGCCGAGTCGATTGTGTTCATTTTCAGCTCGTACAGAGGACTGAAGATTGTCTGAGAGCGTAAGTCGACCCTCAGACAAACGGCAGTCAATCCTCAGTCGAACTGGGCTGAGGATGGGCTGAGGATGGACTGCGGTTTGGCTGTGGTTTGTCTGCCGTTTGTCAGCCGTTTGACAGAGAGAATTGTCTGCCGTTTGACAATGGTTTGGCTACCGATAGACTGCCGATTGTCTGTCGATGAGCTGCCGTTTAACTGCCTTTTATCTACGAATTAACCGTCGCCATCGACAAGGTTCCAGACAACATTCAGACTATTACTTTGCCTCGGGAGGGGGCGATGTGCAGTCGATTGCCTACCTACGGGTGTTTTGTGAAGTGAATTGCCTACCTCTGAGGCAGCTTACTACTGCTGAAAAGCCTCTGTCACCCCCAGAAAACCGCCCCTCCTGAAGTGACTGTGTCTGAGCACGTGTGATTGCGTGAGTGCCCCCCCCCCCTCTTAAGCGACAATCACTCTACCGACATGGGAATCTCAGTTTTCAAACGTTTTAAAAAATGTAAACAGGGGTCTTTTTGTACTCAAACAAACGACTCAATCACTCGGCAAACAATGTAATTTACTGGTATACCATTCTTTTATTCAATAATTTTTATCTTTTGGGATTTTAATCTGGGGTAATGAGCATAATGATAAGAAAAAGATTGCTGAATTACTAAGAAAACAAAAAAGGGCACTTAGACTCATGTATAAAATTAAGGATTTCTCTGTGTCCTGTCGTGAGCTGTTTAAAACTGAAAAGATTTTAACAGTTACCAATCTGTATATTTACCATTCAGCTATGTACGCTAAAAAGCATCTGGATTTGTCTAGCCAGGCTCATGATCATAACACTAGATACAAAAACAGAATTGTTAAAAACAAATATGATCCACTTAATCTTAAGATTAGATCTCATCAAATACTATGTAAACTACCAGAGGACATTTTTAATATACATAAAATTTTAAAATTTAAAAAGCAGCTAAAAAAAATTCTGATTGACAATGCATTTTACTCTTTGGATGAGTTTTGGAATGTCTAACTATCATTAACTATGTGCAATTTTTTCTAACTTTGACTCATCTCAAACTGTTTTCATATGTAAGCTTTTTGGGACCAATAAAATGAATATGAATATCAATATGATACTTCAAACCCACCGGACGCGTTAGTTTAATCAAATATGCAAAGTGATTTACCGGTCACATTATTTGACTTCGGTAAATCGCGAGGGTGAAATGGTCGGGCCGAAGGCCCGACCATCGCCGCCGGCAGGCCAAGCAGGCCCGGCCCCTGCCGAACGGAGTTCTTTGGCTTAAGATTGCCATAGTAAACCATAGGTTGTAGCAAAAAGTCCTAAAAACCGCCAAATAGAAAGGAAACTCTCCCGGTGCTTCACCGTAACATCCCGTTCTCGAGTCTTCGGGGCAAACTTAAAGACGACGGGTTTAAGAGGGCCCAAGGCCCGCTACATCATTCGATTATGTTCCTCAGCAAATCACGTGACGAAAATGGTCGGGCCTGTGGCCCGACCATCGCCGCCGGCAGGCGAAGCAGGCCCGGCCCCTGACGAACGGAGTTGCCGGCGGAGCGAAGCGGAGCTGGCAACTTCGTTTGGCGGAAGGGCGGGTCTGCTTGTTTAACATGCATTAAGCAGGTCTGTTCCATATTTTTCTGACAGCCGGAAATTATTGGCTGAGCGATTAGCGAAGCCCATTACTCCACTGACCGGAAAAGTTTCATTCTGTTTGTCTGTCTGCTTAAACCCGTTGTATCTGGATTTGCCCCCAAGACTCGAGAAAGGGATGTAACGGTGAAGCACCGCGACTACAACCCACCCTTCTGCTTAGAAAACGTGTTTTGGGGGTGGGGGGAGAGTTTCTCTCCTATTTTGCGGATTTTAGGACTTTTCCTACAACTTAATGTTCACGATGGCAATTTTTAGCTTATTTTCGTCTAAAAAGACCCTCTAGCGCCTAAACTGGTAGAGATAGAGCCAAACGGACGAAATTTTCCGCCACAGGTCTCTACTTGAAGAAGTAACCCCTTAAGCGAACATAACAAAAAATTACTTTTTGGAAGAATTTTTGAACCTTGGATACCCCCATTCACACCCTTAGAGGTGGTTGCCAGGATTTGCGGTAGGCGTTTAGTTCTCTAGGAGTGGACCTTAAGATACCCTGAAAATTTCAAGTCACTAGCACATCTCCTTCTAGTGGAACAGACAGACAGACACACAGACAGACACGAGGTCGTTTGCATAAGCCCGCCGGATAGCTTTTTCAAAGCAAAAGGGCGGGCTAAAAATACTTAACATCGACAAATTGTAGATACACTTCGGTTAACTCGTCTTGGGTGACAGCGCCGCAGGCCTAGCTACATGTGCGCCAGGCGCGTCGCAGCGTAACAGTGTTTCGTAAGATATCGCGAAGCCTGTTTAATTTATGCCCTAGAGCTCAGCAACGCGTACATTGCGCCACATTTTGTTTTGACATTGACTTTGTTCCTGCACCCAGAGAAGCGAGATCTTGATTCAACCCCAGTGCCGGGCTTGATCTCTTGTACTTGACTTTTGCGCTTGATTTGATCCCCGCTTGCGCTCGCTCATTGGCTCTCCTCGCCGAGAACTTGTGTGTCGAATCAACCTCAGAATGTACTTGGCTCGCCTATCGCTCGTAAGTGAGAGAGAGAAACTTTACTAAAATTGGTTTGCTGCCGGGCGGACTCGAACCCGCACACGCCAGTGCGAGAAGCTGGAGCGCTATCCCCTGCGCTGCCGCTCTGCTGCTGGGAGGTACGGCCCAGCGCAGCGTCTCAAGCTGCAGCCAGCAGTCGCTTGCCCAGTTCCGTTTCGAGTTATCCCCTTTGGACCGCAGGTGCGCTCGCGTCGCATCTTGAGGGGAGAGGAGGGGGGGGGGCATGATTCAGACTGCCAGTGTCCGCCGGAGCGAAAGCAACGACTGTTGGCGCCGAGACCCGAGAGTCTATAGCGACTGCATCACTTGTTCGAGATTTCGAGATCTGCTGAGGTGACAGGTGAGTGGAGTAAATTCGTGGTGAGTTTAAAATTTGTGACGGTTGCTCACGTTTTCTAATTTTATTTTTTTTGAGTTCCAGAAGTGCGTGTTAGACTCAAGTCGCTCCCTGCGCGAGGGCGATTTGCTCCAGCTTTCCGATGGGTGGGGGACGAGTTGCTGCTGCGCCAGCTCAAAGTGTTCCAGCTAGCGGTATGTACATCTGCTGTTCTAAAATGAAGTTTTTGTAATTAGTGTAGGGGGTCAGCCACGTTCAGTGGGTCGGCACCGCCCGACCGGCCCAACTTCCTCTCCCCCTCCTCCTCCTTTCGCTCGCCGGCGGCCAGTCTCCCGTCCCCACTCGTCGTGTGCGGCTGCCGGCGGCTGCTCCGGCCGGACCGCCGCCCGCTGCCCGCCGCCTCTAGTCGTCTGCCCCTACCACTTTCGACATGAAAATGTGCGCGTATACTTTGTTGAGTGCTGTTGTGTTTTCAAAGTAGTTTCAACCACATGCACAAAACGATAGTGAACATGGAAAGGAGTGTTTACCGCGAGCTAGCCATTTTATAAAGTCAGAGGTGGGGGAATGGGTGCACGGAGGGGCAATTGTGTTCGTTTATGTGCATTTTTGTGTGCACGTGCTAACGAAAGTCTTTCTGATCAGGACGCCAAGAGCACATTACTGTCATGGACGTGGACGCAGCAGGAGCTAGCTCCATCCGGAATAGTCTCAACCTCAGCCCCGAACAGTCATCAACACCCAATCCGGAGTCATCTTTTCCGGCGGGAGTTCCAGATGAAGTAAGTAAATACACTCATTACATCTAGGATTTTCAGTCTCCCCCACCATCCTTTGGAAGTGTTTGGCCACGCAAAGCGCGTCGCCCCACTCCGGCCGCGGCAAGCGCGGTCGTTCAGAAATGAATCTCCTATGCCCCCCTCCCTCCCGCCCCCTCACGCCCCATGTATATCGCGCTCGCGTTTAACTTTCAAAGCATCTTCTATGTCCCATAATGGTTTTATTACTATCACACTGTAAAAATATGTTAGGAGATT